GAACCAAAATCGTGAAATTGCCCTTTAAAGCAATGAAATAATTTACATAAAAAAATTTTGATTATAACAAGGGAACATCTACATTCGGTTGGAAGGTTGTTTCCACTAGGTTGAAGAATAAGACTACCTACATTAACCTATCCTTAAACCCTGGCATTTAATTTCCAACAAGCATACCTCAATTAGAGACCACAAGAAAAGTTACCCATGAACCAAAAATTTAGATAATTTGTGTTAATTCTTTTATAAAATGTTTGAATATTAGGCAGCATTAATAATAATGAATTGAATATGAAGATTACACACAAGTGATCAACTATAATGTTAGGCCAAGCCAAAAGATTCATGCCAAATCCCACTAAAAGCACCATGATTGGAGGAAAAAGCAGATTATAAGAGAGATACGAGCAGAAGCCCACAGTGCAATACGCTTGCTGAGAATTCGTACTATCTTGATATTTCCACACATTTTCATCCCTTGTTATAAAGCGGGTTTGAAAGCAAAGACGAAATTTTAACACTTAAGGATATATTCTCTGTAGACTGAGAAATATTATTTATCAAATGAACATTCATCGCCTTCTAAGTTCAAACCACTATACTCAAACATCTGCAAGCAATAAAATTCACATCAGCCACTCAGTACAAGTAATGAATATATTCAAAGTAAATAAAATGAGATAGTAACAGTAAAATAATGATTTTTATGTTTGTAAGTAAAAAAGAAATATCAAGGCATTTTGCAGGTTTGCAGAGTTTTGCATGGTAATTTCTTTTGTGAGCGACACTTAAGTATGAATTTATGAGTTAACAAACAAACCCTTACATGTATAAAGTACATGGGACCTGGATAATCAAGTTTTAATTAAAAACAATGGCTTCTTTATCATCAAATATTGATCAGAATATGTATTCCTAGTATCAACCTTATATCCCTTGTTATCTTTCACTTCTCCATTTAGAGCCGGCGAGCACCAACACTAGCTTTTTTTGGATCTTAAGTTCATGGTGAGTGGTGCAATGGATTAAGGGAATATTAATAATGATATTTTTCGAGATTTTTTGTTGGAGGATGTTGACAAGTCACTGTATGTTGACTTGCAAGTCAAGATGATTGCATTTGGAGCTGATATTGCCTATGAAGTTCTTCCTTTCCATAAACAAACAAAAATACATCATCATATGATCAAAATAGCAAGCACGCATTCTGACGAGGGACTTGTTGGGTGGCCGACTGAACCGGCCGGCTTTCATGGGCGTTGGAATTGCCGCCTCTTCTCTCCCAATTTCCTATTTTACTCCCTTGCATAGAGGGAACTTCTTCAACTTCTACTCCTTTCCTATTTCCAGTCCTCGCCTATTTCTGTTCCTCTCCCATTTTCTTGCCTTTTTCTTTTCCCTTCCCATTTCTATTCTCTTCCTATTCTAATTCCTTTATATTCTAACAACTAGTACATTTTTTTACGTGCCACCATACTTCCCCCCCCCCCCCCCCCCCCCCCCCCC